AAAGAAAATTAAGAGATCAATGGTATGTTTGTGAAAAAGGTCATCTTAAATGACTTTAGAACTAAAATATGAGAATGAAACATAGTGATTAGAAAGAGAAAGAGATCAACATCTAAAACAATCACAATTATGTGCATTTCTTGGCCACACCAGAATAATCAACTAACACAACTTTTCATTAGTTTTATTTAACAATAATATTAAAAACACTCGTTGGGTGCAAACAATTACACATTTAGAAGATCTAAATTGGTGAAATTGAACATTCATTATGTGGGTTTAAAGATTGTTTCATGATCTTTAGTAAATAATATTTCCGTTAGTAGTCTATATGAGGTTAGACCGATTTTTCAAGTGCATATTGGATCAAATTAGCAGTCATTTTGTTGATGGTTTAATGTTTAAAGGTTACAACTAAATATCATGGTCCGGCGATCTGATTTTGCTATTGAGATTCTCCAATAGCTTGCTTCCAAATCTGTTGCGTCTCATCGCTTGGTTGTTTTTCTCCATTTTCCACCATAATAGTTGGCGTACGTCATCCTGCAAAAACCAAACAACAAATTCTCATCATCTTCTCCTAGGTAGACAACAAAATATATTTCAAGAAGTTTCATTGTACCATTGATTCAGACCATGCCGTTTGGATCACGTTGTTTCCAAACAGATCAATAAGAAGTGTGTCCGATCCATCTCTGTCATCAGCTCGTATACGATAAACCTTGACTTTTTTTTTTCTATTGTAAAAATCTTTTGTACGACGTGGCTCCCGTATTTGTCGCGGGAGAGAAAATCAAAATGCCCTCCTAGCTGTTTCGTGAGCTGGCTTGTAACACTCTCATCCTCAAGATCCACGACATGTTGCACGACTTTGTTTTTGAAAAATAATAGACTCGTGAGTAAACGAAAGACATTCTTAAGAACGTATTATTGCATGCGGTGCTTAACAGACTCGTGACTAAACATAAAACATATTGCTTCCGTGGTTAAGAATAACATACCCGTACAAGTCCAGATAGTTTCAAGAATTCAAGGCGTTAGAGATTATCTTGGAAATCAAGCGTTGCTTAAGCTTAGGACAGTCGATGCCAATACATTCTTTAAGCATGAGGCATCCATACCGAACAGTTGCAATTTGAGGACAAGTTCAAACGACAACGTCTACAAGATCCTGAAAAAAAAAGCATATTTGAAAACGTTTCAGTCATGAGTTGTATAGCAAATCTTGAATTGAAGAAAACATACATTGCAAACTGAACTGATATAAGCAACTGAAACATTGAATTGATTCATCAACTTCGAGCTGCTACAATATATTTCTCAACTATATGGTATAAGCAAGCAAATATTCAGGAGATAGATACATAGTATCCAGTTTTTTACGTAATTTCTAAAAAAGCTAACTTTTGAGATATCCCCACAATAAGGCCAACCATCTTAACATAAGAAGCAGAGTGTGGATGAGATGCTCTTACCCTGTTCTACGAGAAAGTAAACTGTTTGAAGCATTCCAAAATCACAAATTAATAGGATTATTTCGTTCCATCAGAAATTTTAGATAATTTTTTTTATCAAATAAAAGTTCTGATAAAATTATTTATATTATTCGATTTAATTGTGTAGTTTAACTTAATAACCGAATTTAAACGAATTAAATGTTTAGTTTTGATTAGGCTTCCTTCTCTTACCGTTTTTCATCAATTTGTTTTATTTTTATAATATTTCTTTGGATCCAAATTCATTTTCATATCCGATTTGGGACTTTGACAAACATTATTGTTTCATATGTTAAGTAGTTTATGCTCTTAGATACAAATTAAGTTTTCTTGGCATCTTTTCAAAAAATTATAATAAATCGGATCCTAAAGAATGTTTAGTTTTGGATGCCTATTAGATTAGGNTTNCTGCTCTTCCCGTGCTTCATCAATTTGTTTTTTTTTTATATAGTAATTCTTTGGATCCAAATTCATTTCATATCCGATGTAGGAGTTTGACAAACATTGTTTTTTCATATGTTAAGTAGTTTATGCTCTTAGATACAAATTAAGTTTTTTTGGCATCTTTTCAAAAAATTATAATAAATCGGATCCTAAAGAATATTTAGTTTTAGACAACTGATATTATCTTAACCTAAATGTTTTTTTTTCTTTTTTATGTTTAATTGATGGTGGCAGTTTTGTTATTAAATTTTTTTACCAAGGTTTTCTTGTCTTTTAAACACTTTTGCAGATATTCCCTTTCTTTGAAAGTTGTTTTAGTAATTACCCAACTTTCTAAAGTTGCTTTAGTAATTATCTCTTAAAAATATGATTTTTATTAATATGACTTAAGTGGGGGTGAAAATAACAAATAAGTGTACAAAGAAAACGAGTTCAAGAAAAAATAACAAGACTGTTTTATCAGTTTATGTGTAGAACTAGAAGACTAGTGCATTGTTGTATGAATTCTAGTTATTCGGTTTTTATTGTTCATTGATATCTTTTTCCCTCGCTTCCGATTTTACTTTTTTTCTTTTCAAAATATTATTTCTTGGTCAATTCCTTGATTGTTGGACTGATATCTGGACACCAGTTAGTAGCGTTTGTTTGACAAAAGTTACAAATGATTCATCTCAATGTGACTTTAATAGTGTGTGTTTTATTCATCAAAAATGACAATGTTGAATTGCAAACTATTTGTTTCCGTGAATAGAAAAAAAAATGATGTATGTGAAGCCATATTTTGAAGTTTGCTAATTGTAAATGCATATGCAAATTATAGAGAGATATGTTTCTTGTTTGTTTTTGCCGTTGTGAATCCGCTTAAAATTGTTGAAAATATATTCCAGGCATTACATTAGACATTAAAGCACTACTTGACATTAGAATACAACAGAGAGACCAAGTGCAGTGGACAATGCATACAAAAAGACAGGCAGATCGGAAGTCGTTGCGGCTGTGACCAGCTTGTCGTCGGTCACACACCGCTCTGATTCCACGATCTCACCACCAGCAACCTTCACAGCCACCTTTGTCCCATAACTACTTGCACACCTCTTCTTCTGCAAAATAATTGTATGACATAATAATAGAAATATAATGACTTGCGACCAAAATTATAACGACTTGTAACCAGACTTATAAGTCAATAATTGGTATGACATAATAATGGAAATCATAATGACTAAATAAGTAGATTGGTATGATGAATTATAACTCAATAATTAGTCGGTTATTATAAAATGATAACTAATCATCATATATTCAAAATTCAGTATTGTATTTAAATTGTATTTCTGTTTTTAATATATATGTTTTTAGCAGTCCTCAATGAAACACCAATCTTAGTCATAAGTCATAACCATACCCTTGCATTTCGTAAAGGATATCTCTATGTCTTTAGAGACAAAAATGTCAAAAGTTTTTCAAATGTCAAGTGCAAAAAACTTAGTGATGTCCAGTAAAAATACTTTTATTACCATTGAAAACCATTAAGCTTTTGCCCCTAAGATTTGAAAGTAGTGTATTAATTTGCTTCCCCTATGAGATGCAAGGTTATATATAATTTTAATACTTTAGTTTATTTGGTTCGGTAACATTATAATTGGTATTGATTTGGTTTCACTTTCAACTTTAAGTTTTCAAAATAATCAAACAAATTTCAGTTTGCATTCGATTCGATTTGGTTAATATATCTCCACCTCTATTATCAATTGTGAATATTACCTTAAGAGCGCCAGTTGCAGCGAGTAGCCAATTTCCCATACCTATGGCAGCTACAAACTTGCCTTTCTCAACAAATTTGTTGACTAAACCAACGGCTTTCTCGTTCATCACCAATAGCTCGGGCGATCTTCCTCCGGGAACCACAATGCAGTCGTAATCATCAACAGAGATATCTTCCCAAGCAACGGTCACATAGAAGTTGTGACCGAATTTCTCAGTAGGAAGTTGTTTTCCGTCTTCGAGGTCGTGAACAATAGTAGCGCATTTTTCGCCTCTCTTCTTGTTTGGTGACACTGCGTCCACTTTACACCCAAGAGCTTGAAACGCTCTAAATGGTACGTTGATACTATAATCTTCAACACAGTCCTAAAATATACCGAAAGAGATTATGAAATTAGAAAAAAAATATTTATTGTCACTCTTTTCACTAGTGACAATAATAATAATACGAACATGGACAATAGAATTAGTATCATATTATGTCTTGCACGTACGTATGATATAAGAAGCTTACCCCAATCAAGAAAAGAAAAGAAGTTTGAGTCTCCTTGGAGCTAGAAATCTTGGAGCCAAGTGACTCGAGCAAGACTCTAAGAGTGTGGCCAAGGGTGGGCCAACCCAAAGTGGAAACGAAGTTCCCGTCCTTGAGACAATCGGTGATGTCTAAAATGCTTTGTACTCCGGGCTTTTCCCACCACGCGCCGCCAGAGAGCTCGATCAAAGGCTTCAAGCTTCCGTACGCCGTGCATTTCATTCCACCGGTGAGTAGACCAGCAGCCGCGAGAAACAGCTGGCTGTGGCAGCTAGTGATGATGAGCTTCTTGAGCTCAGCGAAACGAGCCACAAGGCTCACGCACTTCTCGTCTGCGCTCAAGAGTTCCGTGAAACGACCACCGGGGACATAGATGGCGTCGTATTGGTCGGGGATGACGTCGTCGAAGTTTGCGTTTAGTGTTAGATGGTCGACCACCAACTCGGTGTAAGTCTGTAAAAAGATAAAAAGAAAATTGTTTGTCTCGACGGACTTGCCATGCCATGATTGATGAATGCGTTTCCAATCACAATAATATGCACAATAATATGCGTTTTCAATCACATTCATCGTTAAAACTGTTCTTTTTAATCACAATAATTTATTCTAATAGGTAAGAGTACAAATCTAGTGAAAATTCGAATAATGGTTTTAAATATTGGAGAAAAGCGTATTTTATCTGTATTCACGGATCTTTGGTACTGATATAGTGAGACTTCTTTTTATTTTACGGAATAGGAAACTAAGTGCA